CTGYTCTCCAGACACCAGTGTTCAGTTACCCAAAGCTTTTAGAAAATGTCACAAGAGAGAAAACAGGCAGGGAAAAGACATCCCAATGGATTGTAAACTATTTCAGATTTTAATCTTTAATCTCGAAAATTTTGAAAGAAACACCTTTTCTGAAAGTAATCTCAAGGCTTGAAAAGCAGCAGCCACTGAGTCTGCTTTGCTCAAATGTTCTAGAAACATTTTATCCCCAGCAGTCTAAAGATATAAAATCATGGACTGAGGAGCAGTGTTGATTTGATGGAGCATTTTAATTATCGTCACACTCTGCCTTCTGCTCTCTCATTTCTCCATAGATGATGGTTACTTCTTTATCCCACGGGGTGTTACACCTTCACTGCTGTCTGCCTGGTATCCTCTCTTGCACTCTGCTTACCTCTCCCGTGCTTAGTTCTTTGTCTGCAGCTGAATGAGTGATGTAACTAGGTTGAAACCAGAAGAGTTGTGCACAAGCTGCCCTCAGCTGGAAGCTCGCTGTTTTGTTTCAAAAGTGAGGTTATACTTGCAGAGCTAAAAGCCTGTTAGGTGGAATAAACAATGTTCCCCTTCTCTGTAAACACTGCTGCCTTGGACATTAGGTTTGGAGGGTAGAAGAGGCTCTGAACTCCAGAGTGTAGCTCTTCCCTGGCCAGAAGGTGCAGAGCCAAGAGCCACAGAATGCCAACTTGCTGCTTTGTGCACATCAGGGAAGGTGTGGCAGGAGCTGAGGAGTCCTGGATGAGTAAATCAAGTACAACGTGTGGGTAGCAGCTGTGTGGATTGCATGGTAACACAGAAAGYCTTCTGAAAGGGTCTGGGGCCAACAGAGAGTGTCTTGCTCCAGTCCTCCTACCTCCTTCTGCGTCCCTCCAGGGCTCCTTTGTGCGGACTCTGGTTCAGCAATTCAAAAACCATATATCCCCCACTTGCCAAAACTATAAAAAATAAAATTTAAAAAATCCCCACTGAATGCATTTTGCTGGTTCMATAGGCCACTACAGCTCGCAGTGAATGCTGAGCTACCACCAGGTAGCTCTACATCAGATGTGTGGAGCTGTAGAGCCAGGGGCAATGTGAGAGKCCAATACACTGCCCTCTGGGTGTTAGTGACCTCTTACGTTTCCTGTCCTGGCATGCTTCATCCTCCTTGGCTTCTGCTTTTATTGGACATAGTCCAATAAGAAAACTGCAAGTTCAGAAGTGCACCTTGATTTCAGCAGATGTCAGAACTTGGAGAGACAGGTTTAATTTTGTGTACTGTGCAAATATATAAATAATATGTAGAATTGTGTAAAATACTATTTCAGTTGTCATAGTTGTCCTACTGCTTGTCAAGTGTTTCTGCATGCATTTATTAATGCATTAATATTAATTATGACATTTTAAACCAGCAATAAGATAACAAATATAGGCTGAGATTGTGATAAACAGTTAAATTARCAGTTGTTCGGTGCCATGTGGTGGAAGACAGCTGAAGAAGGCAGCAAATATGGTCTTAAGCAGACATTTTTTGTAGGTATAGTACTGAAAATCATGAAGTGAATGCTATGCATTTATTTCTCTGTTCGCTAAATTTGAGATACTTTGCAGAAGAAAATACACAGTAAATTAAATGGTGATCAAATTGCAGACCTGGCCCKGACTGAGAGAGAAGTTAAGAAACTTCTGAACTGTGGTTTCATTGAAGAAGATGAAGAAAACTAATGATATAAATGAAAAAAAATGTGCTGGCTGGGGATTTCAGTGTATGAAGAATGAAATAATTCTAATTTTGGCATGGGCCTCTGTCCAGAGCTGAATAATAATACTGTCAGAGATAATGCAAAGAGAGTTCTAATAAATGCTAGTGCTCTATAACTCAAAAAGAGCTTAATGACACGTTCAAACCTATTTTTTAACCACCAGGAAAAAATATAGAGATATAATAAACAGCTCTTTCCAAGTAGAGACAAATGACTGCTATAAAGACAGGGGAAGGAAGTCCCATGTCTGAAATAAATATAATGTTGGCTAATAATTTATAAGTGTGAATGGACAATGTGGGCTTCTTCTGATCACAAGTAAAAGAGTTAAATAAAAGGGGGAGACTGTAAATCCAAGGAGGGGAGAGAATGTCTTTTTATTAAGGGGTTGAAATAGTTATTCTGTAACAAAGTACAT